TTCTAACTGGGAGTGGAGCTTATATGGTGTAGAAGTGTTATTGTACTAGCTAAAATCAGACAATGACGGAATATTGAACCCAAGCCAAGTACGTCTTTGGTTATTATAACTGCTTGTATTTTTTCCACTTATTTGTTTGTGAATGCAGCTCACAGAAACTCAAGTTTGACAAGATCAGTGAAATAGAAGAACAGGTTATCCCTCAAAGTATGTACATGTAAAAGGCTAATTCCAGAAACTAGGGGGCCAAAAGTGTGACATTCTTGTGTCCTTTGTTATTTGACGTGGAAATGTCACCAGAATTTGATTTCAAATTATCAGTTTGTTTTGCAGGTGCAGTATAATTTACATTCATTCATCACTCGTGGAAATTAGAAAATGTATTCTGAACTCACAAAATCATATGTCAGATGTGACAGGGACACATCAAAAATGGACCCCCTAGTTTCTGGAATTACCCACAAATATTCCTTGATGTGCAGTTTTCTACACATACTTCTAGGATAGCTGTACTTGAGTCAAGTTTTAACTCTCGATAATGTATTCCTCTAAAAGTTTAAACAGCATTGGCCCATGAGACTGCATGAAAATAATGATACATCGCAGTTGGGCTGTTGATGGTTCAATTCCGTCTCATTCAACCTAAATTGATGCTGTCACACTGAGTATTTTCCTCCTGTCAAACCAGCCCTGTTAATCCACCACAGTCGTCAAGACTTCTGCCAGCAAATTAACATCAAATTGAAATTGTATGTGCAGACTGGCTGTCATCTCACAAAACTACAGACAGCTACAGCTCTGATCGGCCTTGGTGGTCATCTTTAATACCAAAAGGGCCACCCATTTTAAGTTGGGTCTCTGTGACTTAAGGACGGAGTTGCTGAACTTAGTAGAAACATACATGTACAGTATACATGTATCTCTGATGAGTGGTTTCCCGCATATGAATAAAATGCAGATGGCTATGCAGGCTCTGTCTTTAGCAAGTTCTCTTTATTCTGCATGTAAATATACATTGTTCTCCAAGTTCAGAATTTTAAACTCTGTGCTGACTGTTAATATATTCAAATGTGGGGGGGGAGGCAAAGTCTTGGTATGGGGTTTAGGGCCCACTTAAGGACTCCACCAATTTTTTAGTTCACACCTTGTGCATTTCTGAGCATTCATAACAATACAGGCGATTCACAATAGTGCGCCACCAAGAGTCTTCAACGTGTTGGCCAATCAGAATGCAGGAAATCTGTCAACCCAATGCACGTTCGGAAAGGGTCTACAGATTTCGCGCATTGAGATTGGCCAATGCGTTGCAGACTCTTGGTGGCGCACTTTTGTGAATCACCCGTATTGGAAGCAATTTTACACATTCATTGACAGCTTTTTTAATTCAAGGTATTCTTGTGCAAGATGAAAGACTTTAAAACATAAATGTAGCGTTCAAGATTTTCAACTTGATAGCTTGATTCTGAATCTTGGCGGCTACTTTTTAAACACAGTGAGAGTTAAGTCAAACTAGGTGGGCCACTAGGCTACCAGTACATGTATAGGTTTGAGGGCGCCGGCGTCATGTTTCTGTGATTGTTATGAAATTTATTCGATAATAAAATAGTCGTTTCATGGTTCACTGTTGAAATTTTTAAATCAGCCGTCAACTCTTTTGCTCCCGGTCTCCCAGGTTGCCTTTGGCATCAATCCAAGCCACTGCTTGTCGTCCTGTGTAGGGACCAGCTCCTGTTAGTTGACCCAGAAAAAGCATCCACCCATGCCGTTCATGTGAACTCTTGCCACCGAGTCACTGCAGGGACATGGTCTCTGGATGGATCACAGGTTATCGTTGCGATGGGATTTGATCTTTGTGTGAGTATGATAGGGCTGTGCCGAATGCCCGAATAATCGATCAATTATCGAATATTCGCATTTTATTTTCGGAATTTGAATATCCGAATGCAAATTCAAGAAAAGGAAGGGAGAATTTTCTTTTGTTTTACATGAAAAAAGTTGCGCTATGGAGGCTTGTTTCTAGTAGATTCTAATGAAAAGTGACAGAAATCTTATTCAAAAAGGTAAATTACTCATTGAAAAATTTTAAAGGTACAGAAATTTTCAACTGGGCAAGAAGTGTCTGGAGATACTCCTGGATGTAAGAAGCTATTATTGTGATTATAATGTACAATTATGTGTGTTATTGCAACTGTTTTTGTATATGGTTTGTTCATCAACTATCTGCCGGTCGGTACGACCGAATATTCAGATATTTGGTCAAATGAAATGTTGAATATTCCAATAGTGAATTAGTCACATAGACTCAGCCCGAGAATATAAATGACCATGTAACTTTACATTTGGATTCGTGTTAGTTGTCAGTGTTAGGTTATTTGGTTTCTGTTTACTGAGGAAGAGTTCTACATGAACATGTCCAAGTAGCATACATGTACATTTGGTTGTCCTTGTACCAGGCATATTGAGTTTTCTATCATTTTGAAAAAAATAAAGAAAGTTATGCTTACCTGTTCTTTTACTTGGAGAAATCTACATTTTTTGACCTAGACCAAAATCCAGTGACAACTGATTTTGTTCCATTTTATGGAAGAATCCAGCAGTGTATTGACTGTATGTGGCTGAAGTAGTTTTGGTGATAACAGTCTTACATTTAATAATGTTTCTGTGCAGGTTTATGAGTTAAGTGATGACATGCAGTTGGTGCAGGCAAGAAAGATACAGAAGTAAGTTCTACATGTATGTGCAGGGGTAGAAATTAACGGTGATCTGCCGGCCTGGGGCCACCGAAAAATTCACGATGGCCCAGCGGGACAGTGGTCATTTGAAGAACATTGCCACATTTTCAAAACTTTCATTACAATTTACGATTCGTGTTTCAAACCACCAGCGCAGCACTTTCAAGTTCACGGTATAATCCCACAGTCTGTGCAGCCGTGATTGCCTGCAAAAATGCGCCGGGCTCGTGTGTCACATAAACACGTAGTGTGCGGCGTGACATTCCGTTTATTGCACTGTCGTGCATACAGCTCATACATGTGAGAACGACCTGAGTGCTGATACGTTGGCTGGTATCATTTTCTAACGATGCCAATTTAACATTATTTCCTTTGGACACCAATGAAACTGTTATGGGTCATGTCACGTTGAGTCTGCATTGGGCTGATCTTCACAGTACAAGCAATATCACCTCGACTTAAATTTGTGAACACAAAAATACATATATAGACAACAAATCAAGTTCTGGGAATTAATCTTCTTGCCACATCATTTTTTTTTGGAGTGCAGCTGTAGAGTTGCGTATACAACGTTACTTGTACAACACTATTTTGACCAGGATGCATGAAATGGTTGCCACGTTACCATCATGCCTTCTTTGGCAGTGGCGTGGTGCAGTGGGAACCAGTGAAGCCTTGCTTGCATGCATCAAGCAATATTGTGTGCATGTTTTCATCACTGCGATGGCAAAATGCGAAGAAAACTTGTGAAAATAGCGGATCTTTCTTTCCAAATGTTGCAAATGTAAGCAGGCAAACAAAAAGTACAAGCTTTTAGATGTGAAAAAATTGTTGAGAGGTGTTTTGTGAAGACAGGTTTTTTTTTTCCTTTTTTTAAAATCTTCAAATTTGTTTTTCTAACTTAACGATATAAATTTTGCGGTCACACCAAACATTTAGGATCAGTCACGTAATCAGAAGCAGAACTAGTTTCTTTTGGCCTCAAAAAGTGCATTTAAATCCAGCCAGGGTGGCCAATCAGCTGTTTTGGTAGAGAAGTTCGACCTACTCAAATGGGCATGTGTGGTGGGCCAGATCGGTTCCGTTACATGAACTCAACCCGGGCCACCAAATTTTCACAAGGGCCATTGCGGTGCACTTCCCCACTGGAGCCTGCAGGCCACCAAGAGATTGAAGTTAATTTTGACCCCTGTATGTGTCATATACAGTGTTAGTGAATTGGGTATTAAGGCTAAGAATTGGACATGTGATTAGAATTTTTGGCCACCTCTCTTGCCCTCTGAGATCGGGAAAATGGAGCTTGTCAAGATTGTGAACTCTTTAAACAGCCTAACTATTCTAATAGTTTGTCCACCAGAAATAGTCCTCGGGAAAGTTTTGCTGGTGTTTTCAACTTCCCTTATACAGGAATGTTTGCCCACATCCTTGAATTTTAATTCACAAGTAGCCTGTTTCAGCTGGGAACCTCACTTCTTAATAAATTCCTGCTTGGAGTGTGCCATATTATCATGTTTCAAGGTGAAATTTCCATAGTTGCAATAGAATTCCTTGATTTTTTTTTCGGATTTTTTCTTTAACAGGCATACATGTATATGATGAAGCTGTTATGTAAATTCTGTTTTCATTACCAGTTTCGCTGGACCAATCAGGACAGTGGTTCCAGTGGCACCTGACCTTGCTGCCATAGCGCTGGACCTACCTTTAGAGCAACTTGTCAGCCAATCCCAGGTGGACATGTTTGAAGCCATACCATTGGCAGAGTTGCATGTACATGCTGAGGGTTCAAATGGTGATACTCAAATGATACACTCCATGGCCAGCGATACAACTCAGGTCGTAGGTCAGACGAAAATACTGCATCGTTTGAAAGATGGCAAAGATCAAGCCACTGAAAGTGAAATTTTGCACAGGAAAGGACCGGTGGATATCAACGCTTTGATCAGAAGGAGAGACAGGAACCAGATGTCTGGTTCAAACACTGCCCACCAGGCTGCAGAGGGATTTGTCCAGTCAGACCATCCTCCGGAGCAAAAGACCAAGCACCACTCTGAGCGTGAACATGGAAGAAATGGAAGCACTGTTGCAGTCAGATTACCAACAGGAGAACCTCATCCTGGTGAAGTAACTAGAGATGTATCACTACTTGAAAGCTCCTCAAGGAATTGCTTAGAAGAACCTAACTCTGGAATTCAAAGAAGAGGGGGGCCACAAGAGGTCATTGATCTGTCAGGTCTCAGACATGGACTGAAACATGGAGTAGAAAGTACATATAGAAAACTCCAATTTAAACGAGCACTACAGGTGAGAAATACCATATGTTTTCTTAGCAAATACCTGATCTTTGAAATACGTTTTGTTAGTGCCCGTTTTTTTTTTCTTCCCTCTCAACTGAAGGGTGCCTAGAAAAGCCATTGGTCACTAAAGCGAGGATTCTCCCTCCAAGAAAAAGAAAAAACCCACACATGCTGTTACGATGGTGAACAAAGCGTTTCCAGCAGTCAGGAAGTAACCATGGTATCCCAGATGAGAATGAAACGGCTTCTCTTTCTGCAAGCCAATGTTTTCTGTGCTGTCTTGTGCCAGTTGTGGCCCACAGCTGTGAATGTGTACATGAACTGATTGGGCAGACTGGAAAGTCACTATGGCATTGCATAAATAGCCACAAATTTGACATCAGGAACAAAGACACAGAAACCTGTTGATGAACAGTTCAATATCCTGTCCATCCATTAATGGGGGTGATTCACAATCACAATGCAGTGCGCCACCAAGAGGTTGCCATGGAGAGGCCTTTTCACAGTGCATTATGGGATAAATAGTTAACAAAGTCTCATTCTCTAACTGCGCTGTGCATGGAAAATTTGAATTTTTCTGAGTGTTTGTTCATCTTGGTTGAAATTCTAAATTTCTCATCGCAAATGGGTGTTAGTCAAATTGATGTTTTTTGTGGTGCAAGGAATACCTCTATCAATCAAATATCCCCAAACTATATAAGACGTGCGTTTAATTGGGGTGGCATATGGACCGTAAACTTGAAAAGTGGCCTGTCTGCTTCAAACTCTTGGTGGTGGGCTGTATTTTGAGTTGCCCGTATTAAGTCAAGTAAGAATTTCTGTGGCTCAAAAAGGCAAATAGAGAACCAGTTTGGATGAATAGAGCAGAACAAAGGATCATCTGCAGACTGGACTGCCATTTTCTGTCGCTGCAGCCACGTTTTAGATTGTGTAGGATCGTACACGTTTAAGGAAAGCTTGCCTGAAGATCTTTTTATCAGATCTGTTGTTAAAGTAATTTACATGTATCTCAATCAGTGAAACTGTACAAAGCTTTTTTCTGTGCAGAAGCCAACATCAGAATCCTCGCAGCTGGTGCTGGCTCGTGTTGGAAACGACGCCCAAGAACCTGCCAAGGACTGCATCCTGTCTGCAGTAGAGCTGCCTTGTATTCTCAGTCCAGATCTTCTGATATACCAAGTAAGTGTGGACATTTTAAATTGTGTGGGTTTGAAGATATGATGGTCAGCAAAGATGCAGGGATGATTCCATCACGGGGAAAGGCTTGAGAGTCAGGATTATCTGTCAGCTATTTGTGCAAAGAAAAAGGGAAAACAATTGTCTGGACTGGATATTTAATCAGTGTACCAGATTTTATTCAAATTTAACTTGCAAATGGCTTATTGGTTAATGCTGTGGTGTGACACTTAAACAGTAACAGAATTCCTCAGTGTCAGTATAGTCGTCGAGAAGAGAGAAGGTATCACAAGAAATCTCCTTGATAGTTAAAAAAAAAGACTCCCAAATTGGTCTTGTTTTATACACGTATGTACAGGTGCACGTATGAAGAGGCGGACTGGTCAAATCATGTTCAGTGTTCATGCAACCTGACTAATTGACACCAAAAATGTTTGTTTAATTTGAGGAATATGTAAGACTAAAATGTATGTTTGACATTGGCAGGAATCCAGCCAAGTTCTTGTGGTGGGCAGCAACACCCAAGCAAAATGCTATCAAGTTTCTGTACTCAGTGGGAAGAGCTTGGGAAGACTGAGATTACTTGTAAGTTGCAAAAAAACATTCAGTGATTTCAAAGTACAGGTAAATATCAGGTCATCTTTACTCATTTTGAATGGTGAAGTGATGTCTCTGAATGGGAAATTTCACTCCAGTTTCAAAATCCATGGGAATTCCTTGCATTTCTATGAACAGTTGTGGTCAAATGTTTAGAAACACTTGAGTTGAAAGTAATGAATTTTTTATTTATTGTTAATTTATTATAGTGTTTTATTCAATCATCATTGCAGCCAAACAGGCTGAATTACCGTTTTTCAAGACTTTACACATTCCTGGCTTCATGCAAATATGTGCATGTTATATTGGTAGTACAGTATTAAAACCTGCCCACAAATCCTGGTAGTGTTGGATAGCTGTTAATTGTAAGTAACTGTTTGCTGTCCAAGTGTATAGAAACTTTTAGTCACAACTGTGTAATTCTGAACTTGAAGTGGAACAAATTCTGCACTTCCTGTAGTTTGGATTCATTTCAGTTTTTGTTTAGGTGGAGTTGTGTTACAAATCTACTACAATAAAAATGATCGTGAGCTCAAAATATAAGACATACCGGAAAGCGGAAATCTGTTACATGAGGGCCCAGTTACGTTAGTAGTGCATCTCCAATGGTTATAAATTTCTGCGTTTCTACAGCTAGAAACATACTTGTGAATAGTCATGCAGACTGTAGTTTAAATGAAACAGAAGTGCATTTTATGTTGTTACTGAAAAATTGAAATTATTGTTCCCTGTTGCTGTCTGAACTTGACAGAACAAAATTTACCTTTGAGTTTTGTCATCAAAATAGGCACTGCTTTTTATTTCAAAACAGAAGTCACTCGTTAGTCTCAACCCAGGTACATGTATAGCCTCCAAGATGCTGTTTACATGAAGAATAAAGTGTAGAGTGCTTAATTTCATGGTGGTGCTAAGCACACGACTTTATGCTAACAGAGGCTCCATGTATTTCATGAAGACCATAAGCACAGCAAAAAGCGCACTTATATTGGAGGAATAATTGGCTCAACATAGTGACAAACAGTGGACATTTGCTGTGTGCCCACAACCGTAATCGCAGCCACGCTAAGCACCGCTATGAAATAGTGCTTACGGTTTGCAACATTTTCTGCTATAAGAAGCACGACCTTTCTGCTAACTGTTAAGCAGCGCCATGAAATTGGGCCCCGGAATGTATATTGTTGATATTGTATACTCTGCATGTCATTTGAAAAGAGCTGAGGTTAACTTTAGGACATTGCAGAGCTCTGTGTAGTAACAAATATGGTGAACTCAGATGGAAAATTCAGTTTTGAATATTGTTGATGCCAAAACAATTCAGAAAGCTCTGTGCATGCACAAGGATTGGCCTAAACTCTGAAATATACCAGGGTTGTAAACTGGCTCTTTTAACCCTACAAAGAACTTTCTAGGTAGTGTTCAGAGGTCGTTGGCTAACAAAAGGCTGCAGGGTAAGTTTAGGGGTTTCCCAACTCTGTGAAAAATTGGGCTGTGTCGCTTACTGCTCTTATAAATATTCCCCCCCCTTAGGATTTGGATTTCTCAGAGAATGAGAGATCCCTGGGACTGTGCACATTACCATTCAACAAGGACGTCCTCCTACTTACTGGCGATTCTCAAGTACACGATGTCACCTTTCTACCCTCGTCCAGTTTCTCTGAGTATCAACTGAAGTTAAGAACCCTGAAGCTTCATTTTCGTAAGTTTCCTGCTCAAACATTTGCCGTACTTATCGCGTGGAAATGCAACACATTCTTAGAGATTCCCACTACCAAATAAATAAGGTGAGATGTGAGAACAAGTGGTAATGTTGGAGCTGAGTCATGCAACCCAGTTTAGTGGTGGGGAGAAGGAGCTTGACTGTGGTGACAGCAGCACCATCAAGGGGTGGCCCATCAAGATAGGTCAGATGCTGAGTCTGACGATCAGTTTTGTTGTCTTTGGACCCACACAGCTCATTGCCATTTCTTGAATGGACATGATTGATGTCCAGTGTGTCTGCCCAGCAAGTAGGTCCAGTGAAATTAAGGAAAATACATTTTTTGTATGTTTTAACTGTACATTAAAACCCAAAACATCTTTATATTGGAATCCACCTTGAGCAGAAGCAAGGCCCTCATCAGTTGAAAAGAGCCATTTTGGGGGGGGGGGTGATTTGTTGGTGGCGATGAAACCACAGTGCTTGCATTTCGTAGTGGTTCTTGAACCAGCCAAGTGCAGTTCCCACCAAAGGAACCTCCATCACATCGCTTCCACCACTCATTTTTCTCTCACACATCCTCACTTCTAATAACCACCACCTCTCTCCTTCCACTGCCGAAGAGGGGTGCCAATTGCCCCGTCTGCTGCTAGTGGTACAGTATTTAAGGCAAGGTTTTACTGGCAATTGTAATTGACAGTGGCAATCATAACACACATTCCTTTCAGATTGATGAATACTTGTCTTGGGCATGTCTCCCTGTTATCATGAAATACTTGGTCATTGGTCATGGTCTTGAGTAATGTGCATTAGTTAACCATGTTGCATCTTTCTGTTTTTTTCTGGCCAGTAGCATAATCTAGTGCTTTGTCACTATGGACATGATTGGTATGGCAACTTTGTAAAACAAGCCTTTTAAATAATTGGAAAGGGTTTAAAGGAGTTGCTTCTTCAATCTCAACATAAAGGGAGTGATTTTCCCTCAATCAAAACAGCTGTATTTTTTTCAGAATACAACCCCAGCCATTAGGAAAGATGAAATTTGGAAGGGGGGGATAAAGCCATTCGTATATTTGAGTTATGACGGACATGATACGAGGATACTACTTGGTTTGGGTAAATCTTTTGTGTTTACTCCAAATTTACTCACCTCAAATACCACCTTCCTATTGCGCTCTCCAATGCTTCAAAAAGGCTAATGCTATTATGTTTTTAATGCTTTCCTAGATTCAGTGCTGAATTGTAACGAGGTAGGGTAAACAATCATGTCTTCATTTCATAGGAATCCTTTGTTTCTGACACAGATGAGCCCCTTGAAGAAGAAAAATGCTCTGGGCATGACCTTGATCTCACAGATGACCTCCCAACTTTGACTTTACCGAATGGAAGGTTGCTGACAGGGAAAGAGCATCCCAACAAACGTAAGTACGTAAATACGGGCGATTTATAATGCAGTGCGCCACCAAGAGGTTGTTATAGAGAGGTCTTTTTGCAGCTAAACTCTGCTGTATGCGGAAAACTTGAATGTTTTAGAATTTTTGTTTTTCTTGTTCAAAAATTCGTTTTTGTGAGGTGCAGGGAATTCCGCAATCAATCAAATATCCCCAAATTACGTTTGATCAAGAGGGCTTAAGTGTGACAGCACGTCAACCGCAAACTTGAAAAGTGGCCTGTCTGCAGCAAACTCTTGGTGGCACGCTGTATTGTGAATGGCCCGTATTGAATAAGGTCAAGAAAGATTTTGGGGCCTGCTTGCATGTGTCTCCTCACTGAATGTTGCAAGCAGAGCTAGAAGCCGCTTCTGTGGCATAGAAGCGCAGATATCACGGTTGCATTATACACAATGCTACTTTGACCAGTAGTGTAATAACTTCCTAAGAATGTTGAAATGTGTACATGTACGTGATCGTGGTGCAGTATGGGTAATGGCATCTAGTTAAGATTGGTTCAAGTCGGATATTGGAAGGAAATGGAAGGAGTTATACAGGAAAATCTTGAATAAAATCTCTGACCAAAATTGATTTCCTGGTCTTAGATGATTCTCGGACAATTTCTTTGTTTTGACACGTAGGTGTTCAAGCAAAATTGAGGAGGTCACATTTTCACCTGACAGCTGACTTACTTCTACACAAGACAAATCAGAGCGTGGCTGTGTCCCAGTGTGTGAGATCAAACAAATTGAGCCCGTTGAGTCACATCATTTGTAAATGTTGAAAACTTAATGATAACAGTTGTGAGTCATACTGCAGACAGGCTATTTTCAAACTGACATGTATAATATGTGTAGTTTTTATTGACAAGAAATTATTTAACTGCCAGTTTATTTGTGTGTTTAAAAGTCTGTGGAAATATTTTCTTTCCTTCAGATTTTTTGGCTGGTGTTCTTGAAATGTGATGTTTGGGAAACAAAAATACCCCATTTTGTATTTATTGCCATTTTGATGAAAATAAACCCAAGCATTCTTCAAGTAGTATTCAATGACACTGCAGGTCAGAAATCATTAAAAAAAAAGTGCCAAGGAAGACTAACAGAAAGGCAGAAAATCTTGGAATGTTATTTTATATGTGGGGAGAAAATCATGGACCGGGCGGGGACAAACCAACCAAATCTGTATACAGGCATGCAACCTTTCCTCAGACTGACTTCTTGTTTTCACTTCACACCCATTGTAACAGTAAGTTCCGTTACTTACTCTGAGCTGATTTTATCCTTTTTTTTATTGAGACATTCCTTGTACACCTTACTGTGACAGTAGCTTATGCAAATAGTTCTTTTCTGAATATTCAAAAGGCGAATGCTTCAGGATAGGAGTAGACATTCTTTGGTAGGGTGGGGTTCTTTTCGGTTTGACCAGTGGAGCGTGTTTGTGTGTGGGCTTGTGTGGATTATAAGGAGTGTATAGGTACTGTGTGGGTGTCACTCCTCCATCTTCAGCTCACCGGACACACTGACTTGTGTGTGGCTGCATCTAGAAGTGACTTAGAGTATTCAGACTCTGGCATCTTCCCACTTTTGTGTGGAGAGCAAGCTTTAGCGAGCTATCAACCGTGTAGCAAACTGCAGCATTGCCGACTTGCTTGGGCTTTTAGGTCCCAGACCCTGCTGGTGAGCTGGTGACCATAATTAATTGGAGAAACACGCTGCAAACCGTGAGTTAGAACCTTTTGATAAATTTAATTTTTCTCTCTTATTTAGAGAAGAGACTTCAGCTCTAAGACCTTGCAACTATTTAACTATTTATGGTTTTCGCATCACTTGTGTGCATTATCGAATCAAATATTTATTTTGTGGGAAATTATGACCTATATTAAACTCTGCAGTATCAATCCTGGGGTTTCAGCGGGAAGGGAACACTCCTGTTCGAATTGTGGGATCTCGATCTATGCCTTGTCGACACAAACTGATGTGGGCCCGGCAGAGGGACGTGAGTCAGGCAGTAGTGAGCCTCAAGAGCCAGGCCTAGAACCTCAAACGGATTCAGCAATTGCAGTCCTGCAGGACAGTGCTAGACCGGGAACCACAGCCAGGGTGGCGTACCATCAAGTCAGTCAAGACGAGACCCACGAACCCAGTTGAACTTATGAAAGCTAATCATTTTAATTGATCTGTTTGTAAAACGTGCTGTGTAAAACATACCCATTAATAAGTTGAGGTTGTACTTGGAAAACTGAGGAGTTCTAGAGCGTTACAAGAAAGTAAAGTGCCACAGAAGTGTCTTTTCAGTGTACCTTTAGAGGAAAACAATTACGCACCAATTTATTTGAATTTGTATTATTATTGTGTGTCACAAGAAAGTAAAGTGTCGCCGACAAATCTACTTTCGCATGCCTATGTATATCAGCCCAGATTTGAACGCGGTCGTCGAGATGGTACTCGACGAAATACCAAGAATATTTCCATATACTGTACATGTACTTGGGACGTAAGTGTTGCATTACAAAGTATAAGACTTTATCATCTCTTCCTTCATCTTGGTAACATTGCTAAGCTGATCAATCCGAATATCTACTTTATTTTAATGCTTTTTTTCAGGTTCATGTAAGTAAAGTAGACATGCTGGCCGATCAGCTACAGAAAAAGACTGGCCATCAAGACTTCGTACAATTTAAAGTTGAAACCAAAGGCTTCCTGTCCATGGGTATAAATAAACTTTTTACCACAACTGCATATACAGTTTGACAATATTATTAGTGTGCGTGTTCTCACAAAAGAATTCCATGTATCTTGAGAAGAATGTACTTCTGTACGAAATACAAGTAGAATGGAAACAGTGATCGATATCCGTAATCCATAACGGGCGTGTGTATTGATTAACGTTAGTTCATATCTACATGGACTTGTACAGCCATTTTTAAGCCAGATGGTTAGCGCTCCATCCTTTCACATCATCTTTTATTTATCTGAAATCGAGCTTTAAAAGTATACATGTCGGTCCGATTTCCTTTTGAATGATATTTAAAATGAAGCGTACACAATGGCTGCTTGTTTGTATCGGGTAGATGCCTGTGGAATGTACGTCATTCAGAAAAGGTGGGATACAGTATCGTTGTGGAATCTCTTGCTAGGTTAACGGACGATAGAGCGTTGTTCTTCATGTACTACGGGCGATTGTCAAAACAAGGATTTTGGAATTTATTAAAGCCGTTCATTATTAGGTCACAGGCTTTCCTTATTTCTTTCCTGTCTGTTATCGGTCTTAAAATCTTATCAGAAATTGAAAGCACAGGTTCTAATGATGCAGTTCTAAGTAATGGGTGTTTGGTGAGACCAGTATCTATTTCAACACATCAAAGGCAGCCTTTGGGCACAGAACGACACACAGTTCGCCATTGTAGTCATGAGCCACTACAACCGATGCTACGCTAACCCTTCCTCGGCGGGGGGGTGGGCGACGGGTGCGCATAACCAAGCCCACAGACCCGGGCGATGGTGTGCAAAATAGCACCCCCAACTTTGACCAAGTTAAGCCACAAACATGATCAAACTCGCCAATGTCAGAGACCCACCGAAAAACCTTAGATATTCATTCATTCACAACCTCAGCACCCCCTGAGAAAAATATGTTCCCGCGGGCATGCGCACAACGTCAATGGCTTGAAAGGGGAATGGGTGGTAATATTGGTCCCCTGCCCCAAGGTGCGGGGATACATCGCCCCTTCCCCCAGGCTCTCGGCCCACGGAACCCGGTACTCACAGATTTAAAGAAGATTGCGTGGAAAAGCACAATGTAAATGGTTCTAATGAATTTATGTAGGGTAAAATATTGACATCCCTGTAAATTCATGATGCAAATTATGTTACAGCACTTAAAAGTGGAACACGAAATTTAAGGATTTTCAATCAGCGTGGCTAATGTATGCACGAAGTTATCGCCGTGTAAGTTGTCATTGCAACGTTGGCTGTGTTTCAAGAGCATTGTCAAACCGTCTTCAGTTGGCCTCTCATCGGTTTATTGTGTTTGTTCAACTTTTGGTGCACCTGTTTTCAACTTCGCACAAAGCTTTGTGTTCATCTAGAATCTTTTTGGTTTACAATTCGTTTGTTCGTTAAATTGAAGGAGAGATCTCACATTGAAATGTTTGCGGTAGTTAAAAAAAGCGGCGACGTGATTCGCAATCCGTGTGGCATTGAGGGGAGTAAGAGTAGCTTTCATAGTGAAATTGATTCATTACTAACATGGGACCTTCATCTCGCGTGATGCGAATCATTTTTTGCCGTTTCAAATTTTGTTATCAGTGAAATTGAAAAATACAAAACAATGCAAAGTAATTCGAAAGCTGTTTGTAGACCGTTTGTCTTCAGATGAACCTGTCCATGATGGAACCGGTAGACGTACACATACATGTCAAGAATTGTCAAAGAAGTCAGGAATTGAAACTGGCGTCTGTCCAAAGTCGAACAATTGCTCTGAGTACGTTATAGCCTTTCCATATGCGCGTCGAACGATTTTTGTTTCGATTTTTGTGTTCATGAAAGTGCAACGCATGAACGCATCGGCAGCTCACCCGAAATACGTATTACGGAAACTAGGTGCCTTATGGCACCAACAGCTGATTAGATTACCTAGAGTGAATCGAGCGGGAGGTCAGATTCATAAACGGGCTGCATGGTCGGTAGAAGAAGTTGAAGAACCAAACGACTTGGGGACAAAGACTGTCGAATGCTGACTGGCAGTCAACAGCAGCTGGAATGATGTCTCGTGCATGGAAAAAATAATTGGTTTGTCTACAAGCCCGATATGTGTCTGTTGACAGTGGTTGGTGTAGGCCTACAACCACAAAAGTCAATTTTTAAGCAAGTTCGTGTGAGCGTACAGAACATAAAGTATCGACTTCTCGTCGACCTTCAACGCAGGCCCACTGTATTCTTATTAGCCACATCTATGCAGATGGACTGTCCATACACACAGCACTATACTAAACTCAAACAATGATTATTACCAGTACTTGAGCATCACAATATCGCCTCCTGTTAGTTCTGTTACATTTCGACGTAGCTTTTCCGAAAAATGGTAATGAGCATGGGACCCCCCGGAGTCGCGCCTGCATTTGCCCTTCCCATCAGAGCCCGATAAGGTGTGGACGAGCGAAGTCTGTGCATGTATCTGTCTAGTATGTAGGCCAGCATTTTTAACCGCCTTTTGCTTGATTTCTGACTGCAATAATCCCCCGCTGTAATTGTTGTTACAGACTAAAGAAACTTAAAGAGTTCACCAAACTAGATCGCTCTTTGCACAATACATGTAAAAAGTCTGCCTCCCATACATTTTATTGAACAACGTACCCATAATTATGTTTACAAGATGCCACGCACACTGAACGCCGCTTCAAAATATTGTCCACAAGCGTACACGCCATTTTTGCTGTTTTCAGACCAGCTGGAGACATTACAGGCGATTCCCAATAGTTTGCCTCTGAGAGTTTGCAACGCGTTGGCTAATCACAATGCTCGAAATCTGTCCACCCAATGTGCGTTTGGAAAGGGTCGACAGATTTCGCGCGTTGTGATAGGAGAGCGCGTTGCAAACTCTTGCTGGCGCACGAAAGTTTATCCGGTTCGTAAGTGTGACGTCACTTCATTTTAAACCACGCCTACTGCACATACACTGCACATAGAGTTACATACATTGATCGCCGTTTACATGGAACCATGGAACCGGAAGTTAACGCGCAACTTCAGAGGTCGTTCAGTGGGAGCCTGGGAATCGTGGCGCGCCCGCCTTTGTGACGAAGTCACTTATGAACTGGATAAACCGATTCGCTGACGCCATTACCTGCTGTGTCCCTGTCATTCAGGGGCGCATTCCTAAACTTGACGTATCGTGATTTTGGTTAGCAGTGCATTCCCGTCGTCTGAGGAAGCATTTCAATGCGTATCTCATCTGTACACGCGCGTGGGGACACCGCAGTAATGGCTCCTGATTCTTGTCACCAGATTGGTCTTTAAAAGTGTACCCAAGGAGAGTAGCCAAAAGGAGACATCAAGTTGTTTTCTTTACATTTAAAGATTAAAAAAATACACAGAATAATTATGTTCCCTGTGAAAATTACGTCACGTTTACTTTTTTTATTTACCCAGTTCGTTGTCCTAATCATAACGTCGCCTTAAAGTGGAATAATGTGATCCTTTTGTACATGGCAATTCTAATCTTTACATTTTGACCAACTCAGGTGGTCTAATCTATCCTCATTCCGTTTTGAAGTTTCTCTGTTTTTTAACTGAATTTTACCCTGGGACCTATAACACATAATAAAATTTAATCAATATACATGTTTTACAAAAGCATACACAATACTCATTACATAAAGAAAATCTGTGCCACCTGCGGAATATCTCACCATTACTTAATGTTCGGTGCGTCGAAAAGAAGAAAGAGTAACCATCTAAGGAAAATCTGAATCGACCGGAGAAACCCTCTGACATTTATACTGTATGAAAAGTGAACTTTTATACCGGTGAACCAAGCTCAATTTTGTTTGCCACAGATGGAATCTTATTGATTGTGCCCCTTGGGCAAACAGAATTCTGCCTGTTTGCGTGATGGTCTCTTATTCCGGTGGTACCACCAAACGCAATACTGCTTTCTGCATTGACACCAACGGCGTTCTTGCGGCCGAGAGCCTTCTTGAGCGCTTTGCGGTACTGCTTGCTTTGAAATCCATAAATAAACGGGTTCATGCACGAGTTACAGAACGCAATCAGTACACTGGCATGGTAATACCATGAAGAGAAGTCAAGGTTCCAGCCGCACATATAGGCAAAGAACATGAGCTGGTTTGGCGCCCAGCAAATGGCAAAGGTAACTACCACCGTCAGCAGCATCTTGATGACTTTCTTGCGTGCGTTGAGGAGATCCCTGGATAGCTGATTCTCTCTTCCAACTGTCGACGCTGATTGGCGCATAGCCAATGCATTCTTTTGCAAATTACGCATGATCTGCCAGTAGGAAAAACCCATCAGATTCAGGGGGAAGATGTAAACGACACAGAAGTTAGCCACGCCCACAAACTTCTGCCAGGCTGTGCTTTGCCACTTGACATTGCACTGGCCATTGTCGTTATAAAATATGTAGAAGAAGTAGCTATTCATGAACACAGCCATGGTCCATATGCAAATGATCATGCTGATCACTTTTCGTGACGTGAAAAATACCTTGTATCGAAAAGGATGCACGATACTAAAATACCTCTCCAAGGTAACACACGTCAGAGTGAGTACCGAAGCAATGAAGCTAGTCCAGAGGGGGAACTTCGAGAGAAGCAGGCGGCAAAGCAAGTCGCCCGTAAGGCCTGGTGGCACGGGAATCACAATCCCTGAGCAAAAAAGAAACAAACAACAGGTATCAAATGAAATGACTGGGTAAGATATGAGCTGTTAGGTTTGTACTTGCTTCACGTCGTGTTTGCTGTACTTGCTGACGGGCGACTTCTCCCAGTTTTGGACTCGGGCTGTAAATACTAAGGGGGGGGGGAACTACTGTGAGAAGGGGGTGACAAACGCTCGTTATCCTTCTTTCGGTGATTTGTGCACATTCCGTTGAAAACTCTTGCAGTGCAACAAATCATAGCAGAGGTCAATCATAAGTCACACGCACACGTACTGCAATGTCAACAGTACAGCAGATCAGCGCAGACATCAATCTGTAAACAAAGCTACCTTCGCCAACTCTGCGGCGCCCACGTGCAGCAAATCAGAGCGGATACCGATCATTGCATCAATAACTGTACACCACATCACAGGCGCACTCTGCAATACCTATATTCAACATTGAATTACATCAGCGCAGATGTCAGTATTAAACATAGCTACACACCACATTGTTCGAGACAGTGATCAACTAAGAACGTCACCATTTGAAGTTTCTCAATCCATTTTTAATTTACTCTCCGTAGAGGCTTCAGTCACCGGTGCACCTTCCACTAAAATGCTTACCATTTAATAAGCAATATACCTCCATGATAATTCTAAAGTACGTGTATTATTAGATGAATTGATTAAAGAGAGTGTCCTCAAGATTCTTATCGATTTGGCATATTAATAACTTCTTCAAAAATAGAGTCTCACTGTGCGTGGCCTCTTCGCAGACAGCTGCATGTTTCCATTGGAAAAAGTGAAATAGAATCGTTTTTCCTCATTGGAGTTAGCAACAAGTAATACTTTTCACTCTATTTCATATGAGAATGAGTAACCTATGGTCAAAATAAATCATAAATGCAAAACTAAATGCAAAATAGAAGTAAAAAGTATTTAATACTGAATGTAACTTACAAAAATATTTTCAAATCGACTATTATCTTAATAGTGTTTTTATAGCCTTTTTTCTTAATAGTCTAAGTATAGAAATGGGACGAAAATTTTATTTTGTAACGGGCAATCAAAACCCTGGCCAAGCACCAGGCCCAACCACGCGTCTACTTTCCGTAAACGAAGATTGATTTTGCTTTTAATCTTGACTAATCACGGCAGTGCCTGGAAGTGTAAAATCCAATATCCCTTCTGCTGAATGGGCGCATGCATGGATTCTGATTTAGCGCCTTAAATGGGGCCTTGATAGATCAAATGACAAACCTCTCTGCGTGGAGGAAAGTGTAATTATATCGCTGCAGTGTGTTGCGTACGTGCCACATCCAGCGTTTACACAATGTGCAAACAGATTCTTTGAAGGTGATCTGTACTGGCAGTTATAACCAGTGTAGAGACCAAACATCTTTCGGAAACATTCTGGTTTTAATAGGTTCTTATAGGAATTGTTCGCAAACGGTGACGAACCAACCTCTTTTGAATCCACCATCAAGTTTAAAATACGACTTCAGATAACCAGATAACTGGGCTTTTTGATTTGTTTATTTTTGCATGCATGGACAAAATAAAATTGCAGAATCTAGAATTTTCAAGTCGGAAAATTAAAAATTTTAAAATTTGGGAACGAGTAAATCAGGTGAAAATGTTCGATTCAAAACCCTGAAATTTCTTCCGAAAATGACCTCAAATGAAGGAGAAACCATCAATTTATTAATTTATTCATATTTCGGGCAGCACGGCACCATTCACCTCTAAAGCGGTCATGATGTGCTGCCAAAAGAGCAAAGATCTGCCTTTGATCATGACGTGGTGAGAATTTTATTAACTCAAGCTATTGTGAAACTTACTCAAGCGATTCTGAAGCAGCCCTCAACCTCCGATCCATCGATCATGTACAGTACCTTTTTAACGAAAGCAATAACCCTTGTTCGGTCTTGTCAATGTGTGAATACGTGCGTGTAAACGAGTGGGACTGATCGACCATCGATCGTACGATGCCTTGATACAGAGCGCTTCGGTCGTGCGCGATGTCCTGCAAGCCTACCAACCCTTCCAACGAAAGCAAACAACTATGCAAACGGTAAAGCAATTTCATATTGATACAGAATTGCATCGGGTTTGTTGCAGGTCACATTTCGCGGAATTGCTGTGAAGTGACAGTTTTTGGAACGCGGGAAGCTTTCGTCGTCCACGGTTTCATCTTATCGGGACTTGGGCTCACCGTTCCCAGAATTTAAACGTACTAATTCTTATCATTTGTGTCGTTGTCGTTCACATGTAATCCTATGCATGCTTTCCCCTTCAAACGAGCAAACAAGAATATCCAGTCTGTGCTCAGAAAAAAAAAATAAAATCCTTATATTAGTTAAAGGTTGACGACATGGGCGTAAATCGCAATGGATGGGGGTATAGTTCTACATCGCCCCTTTTTGACCAGGCAGATGGGCTAATGAATCTCAAAAATAATTGTGGATGGTGAAGAATGTTTCGAACTTCTCAACAGCCAAAGTGTATTCCATAGCACTCAAAATGGGGAACAATAAGAAAATCATAGATACCCCGTTCTGATTCTAAAGGAGTGTGATACATATTACAGATGTACGTTCTGTACCATGAATATTGTCTACTATACAGTGTCGTATTGTGGTGTCTGCACCCCCCCTCGGCTCTTAATATTCCCATGACTGGGCAAGTCATTCCCAACAATTTCCCATCTTTCGCCCCCCTAATTTCCGGCATAACCTTACGCCACTTGCCGAGGTGATATCATGTGTGCCTCAAAGAAACTGAAAAGGTGAATGTTGGTTCCCTTCTTCCATAGAAAGCGTTCAAGGCCTTTCAGCGTCAACCTTTTTTTTAGCACAGTGCCATTCCCCTAAGATGCTTTCGAGGAACGAGCCAGCATAGAGTAGGGAAACCTATTGAAGGGACTTTTCGTTGGCTACCCCCCCCCCCTTATCATTTTTTGGATCTGGACTTTATCCTATATAGGCTAAAGATCAGATGCAGTTAATAACAGAATGCACCTGTTGCCTTGTTTCTCTGGCCGTATTTAACTTTCAGTTAGAAAATCTTTCACTCAAAAACCTCCGTCCAATCCTCCTTTCAGAGACACACGGTGACATTATTAAACGTTGCAAAAATGATCAGAACATTGCAAACTCATTTAAGTCATGTGTCAATTCATATTCGGGTTCGACGCTTCTTTGATTGTCAACGTCCATTGTGTGCAAAGACCCCCTTTGTGTTTTCGTCTGCGTTACTGGCCTTCAAGTATATTTTTGAGCAGTGGGCTTGCCACTCATGAATTGCAGAAACTAATCACATTTTCCACAAATAAGGGGCCTGCTTGAATCAATCAATTTAGATTCTGCTGTTTCCGTCGCGGTGATTCTGCTCCATTTGCGTCTTCCTTGTGTTTCTTCCACTCCAATATCTCTGATCAAGATTTCACTCAGGCAGCAAGAATATCTTTATTTGATGAGGGATGGGTTGACCTTTCTCGTTCAATTTCGCCACGCGTTCATCGCGGTGCGTATTCCTCGTGATCTCCAAAAAGATATGTCAGGACTTTTTCCGGCCATCAGTTTTATCTGTTTTAACCATCAATTTCATATAAAATGCTGTCTTCATTTGTATACCGGTTATAATAAAAGCTATTTGTTTCCCTAACAACGGCACAGCTCCATTATACTACCGTCTGTCTTCTCTGGTGTTGGCCACGTCGCATTTCTGATACACTTCTCTTTCGATTTGAGGATTATTTTTGTTTGCCAAAACCGAGAGTCACTCGGTAATTTTGTCATGCATGAGGCTGACCTGAATGCAATGGCCTCAAAACACACAAAGCCCATCCCAGTATATATTGTTTCTCCCGACTTCTTAAAATATTTAAGAAATGCTATGCAGGACCAACAGTCGACAACCCGCATTTCTCATATTTTGCAAGTAGATTTTCAGGTTTATAGTTTTCGCGTCAACTATTTAAAAAAACACTAATTTTTCTGCTAGTAAATATTTGGACTTTACTTTGACGACTCTCGCAACGGAAGTGAAAACGTCAAATTCCAGTAGCAAAAATTAATGTGATGCTCCAGAGGTGGACAGTGCAATTTTCTCATTTTCTGCAAGTGGATTTTAAAAAAATAGGGACATCCAGTTTCAAAAAACAGAACTTTCTTCCTGTAGAAATTTGGATTCTTCCTTGATGACTAGCGGTCATCACATATCTAATTACACCCTTGGTACTTTCTTTCTTTGACGTCTGGTGGTTAATTTGCCGGAAATATTAATTTTGTATACAAATCTTATGTACCATAAATGCTAATTTATTCCCATTCGATAAATCATGACTCTACGTTATGCTTGATTTGACTGAAATTATCGACACAAAATCAGAGGAAGCAAAACAAAAGAGTGGAATGAAGCAAGACGGGAAACTGCGAAACAGACCTGATTCAACTTTTCATTCTCAAATTGTTCATCAAATATTTTAAAACTTACATACTTTTCAACGATTGAGAGCGTACCTTCAAAGCGGATTTTTGTTCTATGTGGCATTTGCCATCATTTGTGTTCCGAAATGTCAATTGCCAATTAAGAAACACCGTCGGACTTAACGGCAAACTTCAATCAACAACAAGGGTTTCCTGCACCGAAAGGATTCGAAGAAATTAATTGAAATTGATACTAAGCTTGTTATTTTTTCTCACGGCGAGAAAAAAAAACTACCAGCAAAACTGCATGCATTATGGAGAATTTCCAGTAAGAAACTGACTGAGAAGATTGGTAAGGGGTCTGGTCATTACAGAGAGTGATTAGCGCTGAAAATCATAAACTCTTTTCGTGGCGTTGTTCGTGGGGGGCATAAAATATAACTCCATCAAACATGACAATGCCCATTTACGATTTCCCACAAGTGATAACTGCCCGTGTTATTTCCTACAGGTACACACTGCTTTGTTATTTCAAACGGTGGATAACTGTTCCACTGATTCCCCCCAGGTGACTGATTTCAAAGCTTACCGCGGCCTTCAGAATGGAACACTCTTGCTAAAGTATTTTTTGTTTATAACTGAAAATAGAACATCGTTCTGTTTACGCGTATAAGCCTATGATTTATCCTCGGCTGATCCTAGGGACACTAATTTACACAGTGGTCACCGAAAACGGAGTAGTCTATGAACAAACATCGTTGTGCCGGTATCTATCAATATGATGGTTGAGATGGTTTATGGAGGATGAAAAGTGGCCACCTGCTTTCAGAATGGTAGAAAAGCAGAGTTTATGTTCTGGTAACATGCAATTTCGACTTTTCTGCCACCTCAAAAGCAGACCGAACATTGTTTGGTTATGCATTTTTCTATTTTTCTGCTTTCCTGCTTCAAGAAAAGCAGATTTTGATTTTACTTCGTTCGCTGGCGGCCGAAAAGCGGACATCTGCTTTTCTCCTTTCGAACAGGCAGAAATGAGAATCGAACATTTTGACAACAACCGTGAATTCTACTATTTTGCTTGATTATTGATACCGGATGAGCAGTTGTACATAGGCGGCCGAAAAGTGGTCATCTGCTTTTCTGCCTTCCAAGGGCCGTGAACGGGGTCGTGAACTTCAGGTTATGACCATTTCCTTTCCTGGAGATTGGAGACGTATAAACCAATAATTACAGTTCAGCCGATCTTTTATAATAACAGATTCACACGTTTTCCTTGGCCCAAGTAAGCTTGTTGGATGACAGCTGTAAAACAGCATGTATTTCCTTTGAGGTACTGTTTCCTCACGGGTCACTGATACTGCCGTCTGGGATTTTTCCGCAGAAAACATGGTTAAGCATTGGTTTCTATACTGATATTGATCTTCACTCCCCCAGAACCGATATGGTCGTGTAGCCTACAGATTCTTGGCCCCATTCACAGCCCAATGAGGACAAAAAACGCAGATGGCCATTTTTTGGCCACCTATGTGAGATCTGCTTTTCCGGTATCACAAAAGCAGAAAAGTTGAATTCACGGTTTTCGTCAAAACGTTCAATCCACTTTTCTGTTTGTTTGACAGGTAAAAAGCAGATGGCCACTTTTGATCCTCCATAATGGTTATTATGGGTAATATGGTTAGCACTTTTGTATTCATTATCAACTTAATTAATTACTCTGCGTTAGATTATGTTTCAACACATTGCATGAACCCTTCCACCCGCGGGGACTTTAAAACAGCAAAAAAGCAGTATAAATGACGAGATATCGAGAAATGTTGTTAAGAATGCGACTCACCGAGATGAAGTGGAATGAGAAATACTGAGGTGAGGAAATCGCACACGGCCAAGCTCACAATGAACATGTTGGTCAAAGAGCGCAGCGAGGGCACCCGGGCCACTGTGAATACCACCAGGACATTACCAGTGATGCCCAGCACTGCTATGACACCGTACACGGCCCTCAGCCACAACTGGTCCTCGAAGGATCCCTCAGCAGACCAGTCGCGGTCCCGCCCTCGGTCCTCGTGTTGGTAACCTTCAGTGGTCATCTCCAGGTGCCGGTTTATGGGGAGCTTTTTGGGTGTCCTCTTCGTCTCACCTACCCGATCAGTGATGGTTGGCCAACATATCAAGTTTGTTACAGCTTCGATTAAAGGCAAGTTCACTACCAGTATGTTTTAAAATTTTTTTGATGCTGAGGGATATTTTGACAATATTTTCAAACCACAATTTGGAAAATCGAAACTTTGTTTCGAATTTCTCTGCACCTATAGACCTCTCAGCGCTTACTTGGACAGCCAATTGTTTGGATTCATTTTTTCTTCAAAGCATGAAGGACTTTCGTCGTCAGCTTCCTCGTGGCGTATTGTGTAAATCCGTATCAAGAATATAGAGATGGTGAAAAAAGGCGTTCTTTACTCGGCAATGTTTGATGCCATCGTTGATATACCAGCGAAGCAATGCCCAGTCACGGGTGATGCAACATAATCACCATTTCACACTGTAAGACAAATTGGAATCTGGTTAAGAAGATTCAACACCAAGGCTTTCACGATGACGAGTGGTCCTCATACAAAAGCGCCAGTTACGGCACGCTTCCAGCTCGAAGAATTTATCGTATACAGTAACGTATGGAATGCGGCTTACAGGTCCAGATTCGAAATGAGCTACATAGTTTCGGCGGGCACTCTTTAAATTAGTGCCTCATCCTCTTGGATAAACGCGTCCATCTGCAAGGACTGCATATTACTCAGTGTGCGGGAAGGAAAAATGGGCGAATCAACCAACATTTCGTAAATGTACCTGCGGTGTATAAAATTTTGACACCTTTAAGTGCGGGCTGATGATATGGGCCCTCGCATAATGATGTTGACGTCACCCGTAGGTTGCACGTGCGCAGTGGGGGAAGTTTGCTGCGGGTAGTGATTAATTTCACTGTGGGTGCTTGCAGATCATTTTGCGGAGCAAAAGATCCTGTGATACTTACAATAATAATGCTCGGGCAAGTATACACAGGGTACGGGTGGGGGCTAGAATTACAGTGGCATTGCTGTGAGGGGTTGAATTGACGTAATCAGGGACGTATTTGGAGAGGAACTATTGGCAAACTCTAAACCCAGTACTACTCTCGTGTTTTCGTAAATACATGCGTACAAGGTGGAAAAAAGATCATAAATCAGGAACGTCGATTCAATTCACTCATCATACAAAAGCCGACGCCAAAGGTAATGCTAATGATGGGGATTATGATTAGGAAATCGATTTGCTATGATCATACCACATACTGTGCTTTATTTCATTTCAGTCTGTTTCATTTTATTTCCTTCCGTTTTATATTTGGTGATCCTTTGGCATTTTGCTTTTGTTTTTCTCGAAAGAACTATCTTTCACCAAATTTTCCCAGTTTTTCTTCTCGTTTTATGTGTGTCATGTATACCTCACTGAATTACATGAAAATGTAGTCGACAGTTAAACACAATGCTAAACGCTCATTTTAAGATGAGTTTACCAATGACATAACTTTGATCGCCCTGCTGATTGGTTGGTGGTAGTTTGAATATTTGCTTTGTTTTATTTGTCTTTGTTTTTTGGGGTTTTTTTTGGGTGCAGAGCAGTATTTTCTGTAGATCATACCACTGATTCATAAGCCAACATTAGCCGTTGTTCCGTGCACCTCACATGCTGATTTGCTCAAGAACGTCCAAAAATCCACATACGGGTTTGTAAAGTTTATTCGACCCTGCGCGCCAGTCAACGAGATTCGTATGTCAACATTGTGAAGCAGTTAGGAGCAAATACATTAATTGGTTGAACGCCATCGGCTGATTTATTTATCGCTCAACATGGCTGCCTTCACGGAACGAAAGTCTGTGATTGATTTTGTGGTGTCACGGTCACGCGCCTCCGACGAAGGCGAGGGCGCCCTCCTCCTCAAGGCGTGACGGCGGACGGCACGTACCGGAAGGTCTCTGAGGTCGAGTTCGGGCGCATTGTTCCCGTATGTTCACGAACGGCTCGATTTGTTGTTCGTGGGTCGGCCGCTCGAACGCCGGGAACAAACAACCGGTTATCACAAGCAACATGCAACATGGCGGCGTCCATGTACGTTATTCGAGAGTTAAGGTTTGGATGGGCTGAATTCTTTTCTATATAAACAGGAACATTAATTTTTTGCAAAACTACCCATTGTCTACATGGTCTTTGGCTTTGTAAGCCATCTCTACGCTACTTTTTGCAGCTGTTCAAAAATCAAAATCTCACGAGTTTTTCCGTGTGTTCCTGTAAAACTCTGACGAGGAGGTGGTGTGTGGTCCTGTTCCGAGAACAGTGTTCTTGAGTCGTGTTCCCGCTGTACGAGCGCGAGAACAAGAAACCCGTGTCCTTGAAGAACAGGCCGCCCGAACTCGACCCACGTGGCTAGAGACGAGTCCGTTGAGACGGAAGTATACCGTCCCGGTCTGGAAATTCCGTTGACTGGGCTGTTGGGCACCAGCAGGTCTGACGTGATTGGCCCGATGCCTCGTGACGTAACTAAAACAACACATGACTCCGAGAATAAGACAGCCTGTGATTCGAAATAACGACCCTTAAATGCCTGACAACAAAATGGTAGCTGGTTTATTCATCAGTGCCACTTCAATCATAAGCACAACAATCTGCTGTATACTCCAAATTAGACAGGAATTGAGTTGCAGGTAGGCTCACAGAAGTCTTTTAAACAGTAACGTTACCTGTTAGCTCCATAAATAATGCTGATATGCTGGACAACCTGTTCTTGTTGGCCTATCCACCATGGAAACTTAAACCAAGTGGTAATTGCCCCCTAACAATACATTTAATAAACAGTTTGTTATCCACAGCACTGTCTAGTATTTCTGCATTTCAAGGTGAGAGGACAAAATGGAATATCTGTATCGGTTGGCAGATTTCTTTCTAGAATTTGATGAAAACAAGTCGGCACATTTTTACAGTATGCAAATTAGAATTAGACTGTGGGTAAGTTGGCATGAACATTTTTGCTGAAAATGTTTTCCACAAAAAACACTTGGTTGAATTCTCAGAAAGGCGACATTTTCTTGTCAAGGGGCAGGGGTAGTTTAGCATTATATGGGACTAGTATATGTTTTGCAGATGGGATTTGTACCTGCCTTATTGGGAAACATTGTCATTTGTTAAACCCCGGCTTTTGCAGGTCCTATGCAACCTATTTGACGGGCGACGCACGACGGGCAACGGGCGACGGCAGATATGGAATTCCATAGTCGGGCCCTCTGTTAGAGTGCACAGCGCCATACATAATCTTATCCCGCGTCTGTGCCTAGCGCCCTCTGTCGCGCGTCACAATATGATTCAACCTCGAAAAATGTATTTTCTTCTGATTTAGAGGTCCAGGACTGAAGTATTTCTTCCCTAATAGAGGTAAACAAAACTGCACTACAAACCTGCAAAATTATTGCTCCGCCACTGAGACGTTTTGAGTTTCAAAGAAGGATTCATTTATTCATTCATTCAATCTTGGAAGATTCGTGGATTTTAAGTTGGCCAACCACTGGCTGTGGAAACCAGGACTCTGAATTTGCAAAAGAAATGTCTACTGTGATGGACAACCGAGGTACATCCATTTGGTTTATCCGCCCCGAGCTGAAGTGCTCCCCCAATCGGCGAAAGAAAGACAGGTTACAAGCGGGTTCTTGCACGCGTTCTGTGTGTACGCAAGACCATACTACATGCCGCAATTCGGTTCGTAAGTGACTTCGTCACAAAGGCGGACGCGCCATGATTTGCAGGCTCCCATTGGACGATCGCTGAAATTGCGCGTTAACTTCCGGTTCCATGGTTCAATGCAAACGGCGATCAATGCGTGTAACTCTACGCAAAACTCAATCGCGCTCACACAAACCGAACTTGAAGGAGAGCCACGACCGACAAAGACAAACAAGAGCTGACAGACCGACTACAAAAACTCACCGACTTGAGATCGGTTCGATGAACGTCTTTATTACGAACACATACTGTATATTGTGCCCCCCCCGTTTTTGAAACGTCCATGGCCGGCCAAGTCACTCCCACCTTTACCAGCCCCCCCCCCAAATTTCCAGGACAGATTTACACAGTGGGGTGAAGTGGAGATCTGTCGTCGATGGCCTATGCTCCTCTAGGGGCGAAGTATTACCAGTTTCTTTATTAAGGGTGTTCATTTTCACATATAGCATCAAGAGCTAATTTGTGTAGATGGTGATTAAACTTAAACAACAATTAACGCTCACCGTTTTCAACTTTCACGTTTTACAAACTCACGTATCAGTGCACAGGGAACAGTGAACGACTTGTAAAGCATGAAGTTGGTTGAACACTTAGGCCCATTTGACACGGGATTAATTTTTTTCCAATTTAGCTGAATCTGCAGAAAAATATGAAGAACCACAAATAAAGAAACGTAGCCTGGTATTTTCAGCACCTGCGTTTTTCGTTTTCACATTTGTTTCGGGGGGCCTTGCTCCTCCCCCTCGCAACGCCCACGTACTGGAAATTACATCGGACATAATTTGATGGAACAGTAATGCGGGTCACTTCTACACGTTTGCACCGAATATACCTAAATTAAGTCAGGTTCTAAATAACGAACAATACTTCATAGCGCCTGTGAATCTTTCGTAAAATTACGAGAAAGGAGTAGTCCTGTTAGAAAAAATGCCACCCAAAAACCTCTGGGAATGAGGTTGTCTGTACTCAAGTTGACTCATCGTTGGAAATCCCCGGGCATGTTACAACATTGTTGGGAAACTTCGTCTTATAGGGTAGCCTGCTTTAAATGGCACACGAAGTACATAGGGCAATGGCGTGGCATGTTTTATTGTGCCGAGAAGATTGCGAACCCATTAATAGTTTTGACGGTTAAAATTGAAATGTCAACCAGGTGAGAAGTGGTGGCGGAGCGTGCACCAGTCGTGAATGATCGCTCTGTTCATGGCGTTTAAACGACACGGACTGTGGCTACACTGGGAAATTGTGCACAGGTGATCTGTGACATTGTGAACCGAAGGATAAGTACTGTACATGTAAATATATTTGACGTGACATTTATCAACGTTCGAAAACTTGACTGACGTCGGATTTGTTTGATCACTGAAAAATCAAACTTGCAATTTTAGTTGCCCAAGTTACTAGTGTTCAACTTGTACAACTTTTCATAAATAAACTTTGAGCTCCCTGAAGATGGCGGAAGGAGTGACTCAGCGTTCGATTTTGACGAAGTTTGGTGAGGAACATCTCCAGTGTTCAATTTGTACAGATTTGCTCAGGATTCCCAAGACACTGGCTTGCTTGCACAGCTTCTGTGAGGACTGTCTTTGTCAGTGCCAAAGGTCACAGAGAACTATTGTGTGTCCGTTGTGTAGGAAAGAAACGGCGAGTCCAAAGGGGGGAGTCAAGAAACTAGCCACTGACTTCAAACTAGCAAGCATGATCGAAGCAGTTGCTCAAGACGAGGCTGACCAAACGATCCCAACTTGTAGCGCTCATGCTGGGAGGAAATGCGTGGTGTTTTGCGAGACATGCTGTGAGCTGATATGCCTTACTTGCCTTCAAGAGTCCGACTTGCACAGGAAACATGAAGTTGGAGAGGTCAGTCAAGAAACAGTACTCGCCAAGAAAAGGCAGTTTATGAAAGAACACCAGTCCAAGTGCGATGAATACTTCAAAGAGAACGTCACGGCTTTAGAAACGGCAGGGATGTTGAGGAAAGACTTGGAGGAAACAGTAACACAAGCCCAGAAGGCGGTGGAAGCTAAAGCTGACGAAGAAATTGCTAAAATAATAGCTGCAAAAGAATTTTTACTAAATCAAATCGATGAGATCAAGACAGGTAGAGAAAGACAGCTCAGTGGTTTCACAGAGGAATTAGTCTTTCGAAATGAAACTCTCCAGCAAATGATTCATCACTCTCAAAAGGCACTGAAAACGTACAATGACTATGTGTTTCTTCGAGGATTCTCTGAAGTAAGCTCTAGCTTCAAAGTCCTTGCCGACTATCCCCATCCAAGGACAGACAGGATTGTGCACGGTTTACAGTTCAGCCCAGCGATTACAACAGGAGCAGTCCACCTCGGAAGTCTGTTGACACGTGATGGAGGAGAGTGGAAGTTGAGAGCAGAGACGAGTCACTCAGCAAGTGAGGGTGGAAGAGGTGTCACTGTCAGACATGATGGCACAGCCCTTGTTGCAGACGTATGGACTCAAAGAATTTTCGAAGTCACATCGGGAGAGATCCTTGCAACTTTGAAATCCATGAAAACGTGTAAGCTATACACAAACAAATTATCATTTCGAGGATAAAGTTTGCTGTGAGGGAGCGTTTCATAATTGATGAAGGCGGTATTTACTACGGTACCGCTGTTTTTTTAGTGGCACCGCACTAGTTTACCCGAAAGGGCTTAATGCTGGTACCGCAAAAAAACAGCGGTACCGCAGTAAATACCGCCTTCTGTAATTATGAAACGTTCCCTAACACGACGTGTTTTTGACCAGTTATTAATTCCTATGACATGGATGACAAACAGGGATCATAGTTATTCCACTTCATAATCATATCCCTTTACTAAAATGCAATTAGAAACTAATTTGTGTCACCTTTTTTGTAAAGGTCCACGCGATGTATCGGTGACGAGCCACTATATGGTAGTAGTTGACGACACTGCCTTTGTCAAGATGTTCGCACTTGACAAGAGTGTGCAAAATTTTCAGTTTTCCACTGTGCCGTCTTGTGAGGTTGAAACAACCAACGTGGATCTCCAGAGTGTAGCTATCAATGGATGCGGCAACGTCGTTGTTGGCGATGTCAAAAGGAACATGTTGACAGAGCATCAACCCTCTGATGGCGTCATTGTGCGGGAGCTGCCGTTGGATACACCACCCGAGTTCTTGGCAATAAATAGCGAGTCCCAGGCACTGGTCTCTAGCGAGTACAGCGGCGTCGTGAAGTGTATCCACCAAGGTCGCACCGCGTTCACCATCATGCCAACTATCAGAGGCACCAAAGTGCGATGTTGCACCGGTGTGTCATGGGGGAAAGATCAGGTCTTCTACGTTGCCATGCACAACAAGGCCAGCGGCACTGGCCAGGTTCACCTGTATGGCGCATCGGGCCAGTTCCTGAAATGTATCATTCAAGGGCTCCATTTTACCCCAGGGCATTAGCGTGACTAAGGACAACACGCAAATTGTCGTTGCTGACTACGACACGATCAAAATTTATCAAAAAGACTAAGGGATATTACAACATTAAAATCGCTGTAAATAAACGAGACATTACTGCACATAAAATATGACAGTGAGCCTCTATAAGAAGTATACAGTAAAAGGATATAAACAAATTTTCACATGAAAGGAGATCATTAAATAATGACCAGCAAGTCAGACTATAATTTTAATGCGCATGACCAGATTGACAGGTATTCAGAAAAGCTAAGACTGTGCGAATGTGTGCTTTGCAATTAAATGCAGATCTTAAAATAATTTATAACTTTCCTAGGTATGGTAGGAAGTTGAAAATGTTGGGCAAGAATGTGCTCGGGAAAAAAACAAGATAACACCATAAATTTCCAAGAAAATCGTTCTTGCGCCAATTCTGTTTTAGAACAATTATAGTTCGTCATTTTGACAAAGACATCACGACAGAAATTCTGAATAAAATGCAATTTATTTAACCTTAGAGGATACTTTTGAAGTAAACTCAAGTGACTTTGTTATTCGCAATAGGAAAACAAAAATAAAGGAGTTCACTTGATGAATTTCTCTAAGGCAAAATTGTATTCAACTTCGTATTCCATTTCAATGTATGAAAACTATTTGACGTCGCTTTGGGGTTTCATGACCCAGGGGAGGACCCACAATTTTTTTGGCTGGGGAGTCGATTGTTCATATGGGTTGGACTTACTATACATGTATTTGTCCACAACCAGAACACGACCCCTACATGTTTTTATTCTTTTAAAGGGTTTTCCGATCTTTCTGCAACCCCTCCCCAATGGAAAGTACGCATTTAAACTTTTCCTGTCAAAAATGAGGGCAGTTCAGCCATTTATGGAAAGACCTGACGACTCATTCTAATGGGGTTTTTTTTCTGTTCAAACTGCGAATCCAAAATTTGCTTGTCTAAAAATATATATGCTTGCTGGCTTATTCCCCTGTAAATTGTACCATGAATCACGAAAGACAAGGACCCTCAGGCCAGCAAATTGAACAAAAATCGAACAATTACGTGCACAAATTAAAATAACATTGAGGTTTTTCCTTACAGGTTTGCTCAAGAATATGGAAATTCTCATTAGCATAAAATAAAAAAACACCATTATATCCTTCAAAAATACCCGAACAAAAATTGATGAAAAGAATCAAGGGTTGTATAATGTTATTAAACTGTCATAACATAAACCCTTTAAGACTATAGCCTCGGCACACTTTCAATGAGATTGATTGGCCTGGTCAGCGTGAAGTTGTAAAAGCCATTGTAACCTCGCTTAAAATAACATGGCCAACATAGGGTCTATTCATTTTATGTCACAATTGTGTATTTTCCACAAGTGGCTACTGAAACTCTAGGTCTAGTCGTCAGCACAAAGGTAAAAAAAGACTCACATTGAGTCCCAAGCAGCTATCAAGACACCAGATAATAACACACGTATTACTATAATTGAAAATACAACCCTCCTTAAAATTAATGGGACAAACATTTGAACGAAATTGGGTAGATCTATCGATAAAACCAACTATTTTTTTCTGCAAACTGTGGTTGTCAGCAAAAGAAATTGAAAGCAAAAGATGGAACAGGCACTCTCGGTGTAATACGTAACTAACAACAAAGTTTTGAAACCTTAGAGTTTTGTGGTTGAAACATGTAATTTGAAGCAAAAAAACGGAAGTAATATTTCTGTGGATTATTATAATGTAGCCAAACAGCACCATTGCAATTAATATGGATATTAGCCATGGCGGCCTGGCTTCCTCATACCTATGTTGACCTACATGTATCCCCCAAAACTGAAAATGATAATACATGTAGTTCAATCAGTATCAGAACAACTTCCCGGAAACATGTAGATTTTGGTGTACTGTTGGTTAGATGTAGACCTCTGACACGCTATGGTTCCAAATAGATGGTGTCAAAGGTTTGTTTGAAAGGTCGCCTTCAGAGTGCATTCCCGGATCCGATGCGTGGGCTGGGTTTGTCATAAGCACTCGGTGTACACATTGCTTTCGGGTTGCACTATGCAGCATGCAGTGATTTGAGTTTATTATCGGTTGCAGTCGATAATGGTCGACTTGTGGCAGAATTTTCCCAGATGGCTGACAAGGTACTTCCTGCGGTAGCCAAGAACTACGTCATCCTGAGGGGACTCCCCTGGCCTCCCATGGTGACAGAGGAAGCCCTGGACGCCATCAAGAAATTACCAATCCGAGATGATGATATTTTGGTGGCCACCTTTCCCAAAGCAGGTGGGGTATTGCGGTTGGGATTTCGTGCAGTTTTCGAATATGTACACAAAGTTGTAAAATTGGCAGTACCGTACTTCATTAGACAATAGCTTTGAAAACCTTGACCGAATTTTCGTCAGTCGGGAGTCAACTTTGTCAAATACGGTCACCATGTTGGAGAGGGATGACTACTGTTTTAATTGGACGGCAATTTGTGCAGATCTTTTGCCTAGAACTAAAAACGTTGGGGCTAAGGTACATGTATCTCAATCCCCATTAAATCAAGTGTTTGTTGCAAAATGTGTGAAAAATCACCGCACTAAAGGCAAGCTTATTTTTGTTATATTCGTTTTGGTGTCCAGATTTCAAAATATGGGTATCTTTATACATATAATCGTAGAGCATCATTTTAGAAAACTCATGAATGTTCTGCACAGTACCAATGATGTTTCAACGATATCGGAGACTATTTCAAGCAAGGATGGAATCCGAGCTCTGCCCTGTATTAATGTTAAACTTGAACCAAAGTCAGACAAGAGAGTCTCAATGGCTTTCTGCAGACTTAGAAAGTAGCTCAGGAAGAGGTTTAATATTTTGCTGCCTAATTCGCTTCTTTTCCGGACATCAGTGAAGTGAACCCTTGATATAAAGGCGAGTTTTGTAGGTGATCATTGGCTCTCGGGGTTACTTTTTTCTTTACTAAGGGACGAACTGGCTGTCCGAAATCTGCCGTCTTGTTGTTACTGATGGCGACATGGATCTGGCGTGTAAAATCCATCTGTGTCATCCACTGGAGTTTGTGCACTACCAGGGCGCCCAGGCCGAACCCAGCGCGGACGACCGGCCGCTGTACCGGCGCGTCAGTGACTGGCCATCGCCTCGAGTTCTACATACGCACGTGCCAATTCAGCACCTACCGGAGGAGGTTTTGACGCAAGGAAAAGGCAGGGTAGGAAAAATAAAACAGTTCTAAACTTGCTATGCAGTGTTGTATGGGGGTCACGATGTTCATGCTGCACCCCATAAGTCATTGTGTTTGGCGTGTTGAAGTCTTTACAAAAACCAAAGAATTGTGTTGAAAATAAATTCTTTTAACGTGCCAGTCAGTACATCGGTAAGACACATCCTATTAGCCAGGTTGTAAATGTTTCGTTATGGATTTTGTATTTCAAAATGCAGGTCATCACAAGTGTCCGAAATCCTAAGGATAGTGCTGTATCGGAGTTCCATTTCCTCAATAAAGTTCGCCCTGGTGCTCCTCTTAGTTTCGCCGATAGTCTGGAAGAAAACTTCTTCACCGGGAAAGGTTGGCTAACGTGAAATTCTTTGGTTTGTTGGCAATAACTCAGTAAAGCTTAGGTGTGACTACAGATCTGCCGCTCGATTATTTCTGGAGTTACAGACATGCATCAAAGTATGTTTCACGCGATGGCAATTCTATCTGCTTATTTTCTCAGGGCCGTATGGATCTTGGTTTGATCACGTGCTTGGATACTGGGACAGAAGACACGAAAAGAACCAGCTTGTTCTCAAATACGAGGATATGAAAATGGTAGGTCTCAGCCCTCGATGGGGAAACCAAACCATGACAAATGCATGGACGTTTACACCAAAGATCGTATAGCGCAAGATGGCGAACTTCACCGTGAATGCACGTAAAACGCTGTAATCGCATGGGCGCCATTTGAGCAAGCGATACGCCTGCGCAATGCGCATTGATGCGCATATGGGCAGGCGCCGCGGCAGGCACGTGCACCTGGTGACCCTGCGCCTGTACATTACCGTAAACTGCGCAGGCGTATCGCTTGCTCAAATGGCGCCCATGGTAATTACATCTTTTGGGCAGAGCTATCCATCTTGCGCCTTCGGCGCTATACGATCTTTGGTTTACACCATCTATCTACAATTGTGTTGTAATGAGGGCTGAGCCGACTTCTAATATTTCAGGTCCTCTCCTCCAAGTCCCACGTTTAACCCTTATAAAGCATATCAAGAACACCAACGACAGAAAAGGCGATACATTGGATGTTTCATTGTTATTCAAAGTTAAAGTGATAAGAAATATACGTCTCGCATCTTTGCGTATGTTAAGTTCTTCAGAAGGAAGTGAGTCTTATTTTCGGGGCCGGGTTAAGTCCTCTAAAACGTAGATGGACGCTTTAAACCCAGCTTATCGCGTTCACCAAAAGCTGTATCTATACTGAGAGCGTGGCAAAAAAGGCACATCCCATTAGATGCATGAATGAGTATATACGAACCAATTCTGTGATAGGAAACAACCTCTTAATTCTTCATTAATATCTAGTGACATCAATATGCTCTATAAAATCGTGACATAAATATTTTCATTCATAGCGCATGTAATCACCAAGGGCATAAATCCCCGGGATGGGGTATACAAATATATTTGCACCCGATGAGCCATTCCCTCATATTGTGCGAACAGAATCTGGGAAATTGATGGAAATGTAAACTTTTATGCGGCTACGTGCGTGCATGTGCGTCAATCGGTGGGGGCGGGGGACAAGTCCCCCACTTTTCCAAGTGGGGAGATGTTATATCAATTCCCCCCCCCCACTTTTTAACCTCAATGGAAACGTATAGCTTGCATGTGTAAAAAAAAAATGGCTGAAGTAGCCAAACATTGTCTCAGATCACACCACAGAGCATCTTGGCCTATACTACAAAAGTTTTCCGGGCGCTTAGAGGGCCGGACCCACGCCTAGCGCTCGCATTTGTTCTGATCAAGGCTATAGTCCCCCCCCTTTCAAAACGGATTAACACCCTTGCGTGCGTGCATGAAAAGAGCTGATATATAGACATATATAGAGAGAGCAGCACCAGCTTCGGACTTTGAAACTAAAATGGTTCTTCATTATGGCATAGTACAGCATGCAGCTGCTATTTGCTAATAATGTCCTTGTGCACTGACGCATAAGTCACCGTTTGGTTTCAACTTGTCACAGCTCTCTCTTTAATTCAACAGCTATAAACAATAAGCAGCGCCTCTAGCATTCGACAGTGTCCAGCGACCCTCATCCGTTTGAATTTTTACAAGGGTTTCGGGTTTCCGAAAATAGGATTTCACACCCCCTCCCCAATCTGCACCATGTTAAGACTGAAATGTGTCTCGATGTGAACGCTTCTCCCGCAGAATACTCGCAGAGCGATCGTTCAAATCGCCGGCTTCCTCGGGCGGTCTCTCTCCGATGACGTTATTGACAAAATACTTGCTTTAGTGACAGTAGACAGCATGAGGGCTCGATTCTACTCATCAGGAGAGGAAGTGGGTAACAAGAAAGCGGGCCCGTTACATCTACTTCGAAAAGGTTGTCCTAATTCAGCACTTTGTAATGGGAACAGCATAACATTGACAATGAACTTTGCGTGTTTTATTTTGTCCGCTGCTTCCCTCTTACCACAGTGACTATGAAGTAAGACTTGATTTCAAATATGCTGGCCTATAAAGCCCCTACAAACGCTGGAATTTAGATACCCTCCCCTTTTTTGCCCGAATTATTGTCCCCTAAATGATTTGAACATACCTATCATGTCCTCTTGGAGACCCCGTCCCTTTTAATGCAGTCGCAGATGAATTCCTTTGTAAAGCCTCCACGGTTCACTCTTTTGTTTACTTCCCACATTTCCTTTTGTTTTCCTGTTTTGGAAAATGACAGGGGTCGTCGGGGATTGGAAGACAGTGTTCACTGTGGCACAAAATGAAACCCTGGACAAATTGTACCGAGACAAGATGAGTGGCTCTGGACTTACCTTCGACTTTGAGTAGCTGGAGCAACCGTCGCCAATAGATTTACATAGGGGCCTACTTTTAGAACCGACTGCTGGATCGTCACTGTAGTATAGTAGTATGATAGGGCTGATGTCGGGCGTCTTGAGGTACAAACGGGTATACTAGTTTTGTGCATGGTTGAGACACGAACGCGTAGATTATGGCCTTATTTGCCAAACGTATAGAATTTTTATCCCAATTTTGGTGCACTTACAGAGTGCATCAATGAAGACACTATAAGATACAGAGTCAGGTTAGGGTAATACGTCCATGCTTTGTTAAATGCCATAATCTGTGTATTCATGATGTATCAAATTTTCACCATCACGATTTTGCCATTGTTACTTTGCTTTTGTTCCTGTCCAGATTTTGCCTTTAAAATCTCGTCGCCTTTGCATACTGTCTTACAAAAAGTCAGATAGAAAATACCCACAAAACTGTAAACAAAATGCCTCGAATACGTTTGCACTAAAATTGTTTGAAGGTCAACACTTCTTTTCTTCGTGGTGTTTCAGCAGTTCTGGTTTACATGGAAAACGTTGGCTTTTTACCGCAGAAAACCATGCTTACTTTAGGTATATACAGCAAGATTCCGCCGACTTAAACCTCGTTATTTTGTTTTCTTCCGAACCATTTCCATATTCTGAAGGGTGACTACATCTAAAGATGAGAACGAGTAGCTTGTCAATGAGCTTCTTGGTGGGAGTAGCTGTAGCTACCACCTGAGCAGGACCGAATTCTCAAAACTTGAAACTCACTGGAGGAGAAATACAGCAACTGTTAGTGTGCCGGTATATATTACTCAGAATGTGCGTCAGGAAAAAGGTTGACAGCAGATGTTGTCATTCGAGCCGGTCACTTCACTTTGGGATAAAAATTATCTTTCCATTGAAAAGGCAATGTCATCAATGCGTAACCAGTACATGTAGACTTACTGTGGGCAAACGATCTCTTTTCTATGCTATACTGAACTGGAGATTCGCTGAACTTGGCAAAGCATCATTTCGTCAGCTGGAAAATTAAAAGTGCCATTAAGCTATATACTTTGAGGAAGAAAGTGGACTTTCAATCTTTTAATTATTCTCATGCATTATAATTAATTTCATTAAAATAGGGCAACCTGTGTACATGTAATATTATGTACTTTTTCGCATCAAATTGTAAGTTTTTGAAGTGCGACTTTTAGCTTAATCTCTCTTTCCTTGTAGTTGTTATTTTCATGCCACTTTTTTGTTGAAATATTATTTTCTTCTTTGTGTCATCACTATTTTCTCCACTGATTGAGGAAAATTACGCGAACCGTGAGTCACGTTCTTGTGATTGCAAACAATAATTGTGAACGCGAGACGACAGTTTGGCGCCCTCAAGGGCACCACACACGTGATTTTTTTGTCTTTACAAGCATGTAGATCGCCGTTACTTTTTCTTTTTCTTTTCAATTGTCACTATTTATCTTGACACATTACATCATAAACACCTTTAAGTACTGTAAATAATGCTTCACTAAAAAAACACTTTGTATCAATTAGTATAAGCATTTTAGCTGAAATATTTCAACACTAACTGCGCGATGGTAAAGAAAACATTTCTTATACTCGGTACCCAGACTTGCCTACGAACTTTCTCGCATGGTGCACTGAGAAACCTGTCTATAGGCAAAATCGATGGGATTTAGGATTTAGGCATGTCGTGCACTATATACACTGTATACTACCTGTATTGTACATGTACATGTACTTGTAATTACACGCAGCACTAGTCAGCGTGGCAGTTTGGACTTAGACTTTAATTCGCTGTGTTCGATAAATCACAAATTAAAATGGATAAATTGAAGAAGGTGTTAAATGGAAAAGAGGAAGAAGAGGACCAGCAAGGAATTGTCACGCAGGTTTCTGTCTGTTCTTATTGTAATTTTTATTTCGTGGGGGCGATCTGTGTGCTTATGACAGTTATGTAGAAGTTATGATGTAGGGCTGGGCCTACCTACCCGCGCACGGGGTCCGACGTCCGCTCTGCTCCCACGTCGGACCCCACATTTTTGGGGGTTCTGTCTATCGAGTATCGTGTCCATGATCGATCATTGGTCAATGGTCAATCGGTCACGATACCGATGGGCATGATCATGATGGGCGGAGCCTACAACTGAGCCTGACTGTCGACCTTGTTTTGCCATGCCTGCAGGAAATCTTGGGCTTTAGGCCCCCTAGGCCTACTTATTTTTAAAACATAATAAAGAAAAGACAATTTACTAATTGCACAATACATGCACATCCCCAAATTCCTGATGGCCTGGGCCTACATACATGTACATGGCATGAACAATCAGATGATTTAGTGACAGTGTCAGGCCATGTTGACATATATTACTATATTATGGCAACACTCTGTAGCCTAACCATAACTTTAAGCCTAGTCCGAGTAACTACAAGAAGGACTCATATAGTTTGGAATTTGTTTTGACTGTATTTGGACATTGTCGGCAATTACGATATGAGAGCCCTTCATACTGTCACAGGCCCTCTTTTTTATCGAGACCTGATTTCACTCTGAATAACTCAGACCCCAAATTAAAATCCTCAGATTTCACCTTCAAATTGGGCCTTAAACTGTCAAATATGTGCACTGTACGGGTAGGATTCAGCGGCAATTGGAAATTCCAATGACGGTAGTTACCGTAAGTTTACTTACATGTACATACTATCGGGGAAAAAAAGAGAAATTTCCTCTTCAAATCGGAAACTCCTGTCACCAAGCTCAACTGAAATTGGCATCTTCTTTTGGCTATTCAAACTGTATGCAAAAGCAGGGAGAATATTGAGACGTCACAATGTGCCAGCCAAGCGGACCATTCAGAATTGAGCCTGAGGAGTGTGCATGATACATACCAATGGCTGTTTCCTGAATGGCGTAACATTCAGTGGCTGTGACTACATGGAATTGACTACATGGAATTGGGGGAGCTGGACAGCGTAGCGGTTCTTTCCTCGCTTTGCACCAATGAGGCCCGGGCTCGAGTCCCGGCTTGGCCCAGGCTTTAAGTTCATTTGGTTTCCAGTCCATACTCGCTCTCGCAGGTTTTCTCCGGGTACTTCAGTTTCCTCCTGCCTCTAAAATTGGACCTTCTTCCTAACTCATTAGGGACCCCACTGGAAGTAAGTTGCAAAATTTTCATGGGCTGTCCCTGGTATTACTTAATTGTGATGGAAATACCGAATAAATCCAGTCCAATCCACACCAGATGTTGCACCACTCAGGAAAGCGTTGTCAGCATGCACATGCCGATGCTGCATGTGTATTGTGAATGGTGCACTCTGCATAACATCATTCATTTTCTGCCTCACACAGTTTGAATTGCTACATGTACATGTATGTATGTACATGTACGTGTACATAAAGACGGTCGCCCTTAGCTTGACGAGTGTTTCCGATTTGAAGGGGAAATTTCTATTTTCTTCTCGAATTTCTAGATTCCCCTGTCTCTCCCCAACTCTCAATAAACTCTTTGCATTGAGAGAGCATCAAGTCTGGAAACCAGACTGCCAGACTACTGAGTATTTCCTGGTGGAATACCAAACTGGCTCATTGAGAAACTTTCAAAGCTGTGTGTATGATTGAAGTAGTAATTAATTGCTGGATGATGAAGGCAAGATGCTGACTGTCCAATTGCAAAGTCCCCATCTATTTAGGAAAATAGCAGTAATGTAGTTTATTGTATTAAAAATTACTGGTAAGTTTGGGGCATTATTTGTGCTATGTACTGCTGGAACAAAGGTTTGCTGGACAAAGGGGTACACATATATGCTCATGTACGAGGGATGGGCCCGGTGAACGGCCTAATACAGTCTGGTTTACTTGCCCAGTGCAACGCTAGGCCATCAAGAGCAGCTAAACAACTGCCCATGTTGAGACACTAGGAGCAGTCCTACAGAATACTGCTATTGAGTGTCGGGTCTTACATGCATGGCTGGCAAGCACAGACTTCCACCAAGCTTTTTTGCCTTCGTGTACTGGTACATGTACAATGTACCAGTACACGTAGGATATACATGTACACGTAGTTGATCTATTGGTCTCAATACACTTGGCAGGCAAGACCGTTGCTTCTGGCAGGTTTTCTAGCCACAACTTGTGTCCCTGCCCCAAATCTACACATTTTACATGTATATACACATGTACTTTCTAAGTTGACCTCCATTTTCTTAAACTTTGTAATAACAGATCTATGAGGGGTCAACATTGAGCTGGTCCACCAGACTGAAGGGGTTCATCATTTGCTTTGTCATTGGTTGCCTTCTTTCAGTATTGGTATGTACTAAGTTTTCTCTAACTACCTAATGTACATGAAAGCCTCAGAGAGTATGTATGCTCTTTTCCAAGGCGTGTCTAAAGTCAGCGGCCCAGTTGGATCCCAAGGCGAAGATGAAGCATGATTTCATAAATGTAGCGGTATTCAACGTCCCCTGTGCTTCTCGTCACAATCCAATCCCTATTTTTACTGATTTTGATAGATTCAGGACCTGTAGAAGAGTCCTACAGGTAGCACTGTTACTTTTCATTTACTTGATGGCCTTCCTGAAGTTGTTTGACTAAATGTGCAGAGAATGTACAGTTCTGTTTCTACGTGTACATTGTATGTTGGACTGTGGTAGATTCGAGCAAGAATGGTAGCCCCCTTATCCTACAGAATCAAGTTGAAAAAAGGCCTTGTCCTTGTTGTACTCCTGTCTGGTCCACCAGAGTTGGCAGATATTAGTAAAAAATGTGACAACTTGCTCGTGTAAAACTTTTAAATACATGTATCCACTCTTAAGAGGGATAGAGTTCTCAATGATTAGATCTATTTACATTCTTTTGAAATAATGAAATCTGTTGTAAGCCAAATGTTACTCCACAAATTCAAATTTTACAAGGTGTGCCAATACAATGTACATGTATTTGGGTGACAACAGAACTCTTACATGTATATACACAGTCTGTGCAGTTGTCATGTTTGACTGACCACTGTCCATACAGTGTACTTATTAATGAATAGTATGCTTGCAAGTACAAATAACTGAATCTTTGTTTAGTCCACCTTTGCCCTGATATTCCCAACGGCTGCAAACCTCAAGCTGTTTGCTATACTCTACACTTTTGGTAACATCACAGCCCTGGTAAGGTAAGAGACCTCAACAGGCAAAGATGCCCCTCCCTTATTTCAATAGGTCTGGGCTTTGGGGTGAATGACACTGTTTGTTCACTAACAAAGATGGATGGTCCATCATGCCTCATGCCAGGGCCCAATTTCATGGCGCTGCTAAGCACATGATTCTATGCTAACAGAATCTCTGTGTATTCCAAACAGACTGTAAGCAGTCAGCAAAGCACAAGGCATGCTTACCTTGGAGGAAATATTTGCTTAATACCTGGGCAACTGCAAACACAACCACACCAAACACTGCCAAGAAATAGTGCTTATGGTTAGCAAATTTTTCTGCTACTGTAAGCACAACTTTTCTGCTACTGTTAACCCTAACCACCAAGGGTTGCTGGCCCTAACCTTCCCCACTCACACAAAGTTAAAGTCCCATGGGACTTTGTGCACAGAGGCTGTTGGACTTTGTTTTTCTGAGGTATGCCAAACCCAATGCAAAAGTCAGCTGATATGGGTCTACCACACCTATCCCCACAGAATTAAACACTTTACTACTGTTTAATTCTGTGTGGTTGGGGAAGGTTAGGGTTCAGCGGCGCCATGAATTTGGGCCCAGGTCATAAACAAGCTTGCATGTATGATACATAGCCAGACACTGTGCCTGAACATTAAGGAATGTACTTGCCCTCTGAGCAGAAATTGTGGCCTCTGCATGAAGCATGGACCATCCTGATAGCGCACTGCTGATGCATTTGTTTCTTTAACAGTGCTTTAACATTGCAGCTCATTGCAGTGAAAGAAGTAACTCTGCACTGGTTACATTTGGCCTTCAAGTGTAAAACCTACATGTAGAATGAGAACTTTTTCCCAATTATCGTTCCTCGTCAGATTTTCTCCAGATCTCCATCAGTCATTATAGCATTTCTTATTTGTACATGTATGCAAATGGCCCGCTCCCCCCAAAAAAGTACATGTATAAAGTGCAACAGACAATTCTCGGTGCTCTCAAAAAGTTCATGTACATGTAGATTTGACTTGCAAAAAAAAAATGATGCGGACACCTGCGTTTATGCATAAATGATAGGCTGAACATTGATCAAACCTTTGAGCTTGATTTGAAAGAATTCTGTGCATGGAACTTTTAAGGTTTAGTATGCTGGACATTTTTTTAGCATAAGTTGTTCTTTCACTATCATAAACGAGATTTAAATAAATGGCACTGACACGGCAATGAGTTAACCCAGTAACCAATATACATGTCTTCGGCTTTAATCATTAACAACTTTGGCTGTTACTAGGCATTTGTGTTGGAGCTCTTGCTCAACTAGCAGTCTGTAACTTCCCATGGTGAAAATATCGCCATATCAAACTATCACCAAAATATCACCAGAATAATATTACTGAAGCTTTCCATCAAGTGACCTGTACGTTTGAAGGTTCTCATTAAGAAAAGAACAGTTGTTTCTGAGAAAAACAGTCTTAGAAAAATGAAGTGCAACATAAAGGAAATCCGCCAATTTCATTTTACATGTAACTCAGATTTGGTGGTTCTACAGTGTACATGTAGCTATTATAGTGTTGAGGTTGAGTCCACCACAAGTCTGTCTTAAGCACAGTCACAAGTAACAGAGAAGGCGCATTGAACCTGGTAACTGATGGGTGTTTGTCACAGCTCAGTAGAACAGCATGTGACTTGATTTGGGGCTGCATGCAGCTGTACTGGGGATGGACTGATGAGGACTTGAGTTGGACCTTACTACATAACACCAGGAGCCTGTTTGTTTGACATGGATCTGGATCAGTTGATCCCATAGCTGGTTCACATTATCCATTACATGGGTTCTGATGTTGTTTCTGCTGTCAGTCCAGAGCCACGTGAAACAAAGAACACTTAGCAGTAACATGCTTGTGCTAACCCAACACAGTGTCGTCTTGTTTCTCCATGCATGCAGGGATCTTTCTTTCTGTTCTTCACTTTTGGCACCGCCCTCAGCCTTTTTGCTGTCTTCTACACTTTGGGTTCCGTCTGTGGTTTAATGAGGTAGATTTAACGTACGCTTGTGTGTTCTTGTGGTGGCAGTCCAGCGGGTTGGGCTCACCTCTTTTGACTACCAGTATTTCTGCTTGAGAAAATCTCCATATTTTAAGTTGCTGCCTGTATCTTTTGAAATCCAACAGTAGCACAGCATTTTATTTCCAAATCTCTCTAATTCTAAAAATGCAGCAAATTGCTGAGGCCTGCCAAGTCTGAGTTCAACCAATAATCCTAAATTGTACTCATGGATCAACAAAAGCTAACAAACAGTAGGCCTGCAAAACTTGGTGGCATTTACCATATTTGGTATGGATACATGTACATGTAGGTGGTGTCTCAAAAGTCACTAATATGTAGACAACACAGTACATGTAATGGGACTTGATGCATTACTGTTTTAGGCCTAGGCTCTACGATGTGCTACTGCCATGCTGAACTTCATCAAAATGAAAGTGGCAATAGTGCGGCAGGTGCGCTATTTAAGTGGCATTTAAGTTCGGCATAGCAGTAGAACGGCATGTACATGTAGCCTAGGCCTTACTTTTGTCAGAAACTTGCATGGCTCACTGTAATATCACAGCCCCAAAAGCCCATGCATTGCAAGTAGAATGTTCCCAGCTTTTTAAGGGCTTCCTGGGGAATGTCAAAGTCATTTTATTTTAGCTAACACAAATGAGCAGCTTGAAGTTAATTAACTCAGGCAGATTTTAGCATCATAAAACCTTTCATTTTAAAGGGTTGTTTCTGTGAAATTCATGTGCATGCAACCAACATTTACACCTGATCCTTTTGAACCCTACAGCACAATGTTCCTTATGGGTCCTGTCAAACAACTCAAGAACATGTTTAAAGAGAAGCGGATTATTGCAACGTCGCTGGTCATCTTGTTTCTGGCGTTAACCCTCTGTGCTGCATTGTGGGTACGTGCATGTTGTCCACAAATTGCCAACACATTTAGCTGGGAGTGTTTCAGTCATTTTGTCATTTAGTCTCAAATCAGCATTTATTCAATGGAATGCCACATAAAGATTGGTAAAAAAAACCCAAACCCACCTCAATTACGTCATCTGTCTGTATACACAGACAGTTCTGATGGGTCAAAATGCCATGCACACCTCCACTCATGTCCAGCAGAGGTCTAGCCATGCTAATCCCTGTTTGTTTTATACACACATAGGCTAAGAAGTCTGTGTAGGTGGACCGTGTATTGGACATGATCTTGGCCACTGTGTTTGACCTGTTGTGGCAGCAAATATTGCTAGTGGGTGTGCCATGGAGTGTTGCATCAGGGAACATTGTACAAATGCTGTTCAAATGACCCTTGCAATTCATTACATCTTGCATTCAGTTGTAGATGTGTTCCAAACGTTGCCCGCTGTATCTTGCCTCTTTCAAAATTCAAAATGTTCAGCCAACAACAATACCGTTGGCAAGTGGTTAAGCATTACCAGTAGAGGGCGCAGTACTATTTATAGGGTGGTTAGTATTTCAGTCAGGCAGGTTTGAGCATCTATTGATCGCCGTTTCTTGGGATATTTCAGGTGTGGGATTGACATGGTTGAAGGCACGTGACTGGGTAAGGGATAGATAAACTGGGGTTTTTTTAACATCATTCAAACTGTTTACTTCTTGAAGCATATCAGCTGAAAAGAAGTTTTTGTTCCTTTCATTTTGTTCATACTCTTAACAAGAAATGTACAATGTATGGCACATATACCGTACATCACCTTGATTACAGCATGTACACGTATCATCATGTGGGCTTCTTGTTTCTTTTACAGTGGAAAATTGCCATACTTGCCATCATCTTTTGTATTTGTCAGTTCCTGGCTCTCATTTGGTGAGTTCACTCTTTTCCTTCTCTCACAAATGAATCCAAAACCTTTAACTTCCAGAGCAAAAGCTTTCCAGTGGTTATGGAAATATTGACCAGGAACTGCTCTTTTTAGCATGTTTGAGAACCAGGTGCCAGTATTTGAAGGTCCCTGTTAAAGTCAGTTAACAGGCAGCTAGTGGAACAAGATGAAAATTGGCTTTAAATATGTTTGACTAAAGACAGTTGATCAAAAGTAGAATCAGACCTAAAGAATGAAGTTCACCAGAAACCAAAGCTGGCCGGCCCTTTAATATTTGGCGTTACTGCGCAACTGCAAAATTGACAATATTGAACTCACTTTGTAATGACAGGTCATATTTAATACGGAGACTGCTGGCTAGATAGCCCATGTTCTAAAGTTGCCGGCTCAAATCACGTACTTTTCGTTTTTCTGCTTTCAACTGAGAGTTAAGGTTTCGTTGCTTTATGTCCTAGGTACTCCCTGTCTTACATCCCCTACGCAAGAGATGCTGTCACAAAATGTTTCCAAGGATGCCTCAATTGCTAGATGGGTCAACAGATGCCAGCAGAGATCCTCATGCCTTAGACAAGGACCAAGTCACATACATGTACACATCCCAGACCTGACCAACCAAAACCTGTCCAAGAAGAAGGGACATTCAAGGGCCGATGTGTTCATGACGTTATTGTGTGCTTGAATTTTGACGTCACAGCCAATTTGAAGAATTCACCACATTGTGAATCCAGCAGATACAGGCTTCATACAGACTTCACTCTCACGCCATTGAAAATGGAAAAACATGGTACAAACTC